CAGCTGACAGGGAATGGGCGTGTGGGTCCATTGGCTATGGAGGAGGTTGGGGAAGGGCAAAGTCCGGCTGGGCAGAGCAGCGAGAGATAGAACAAGGGAGAGGGAGTTCAGAGGAAGACCCAGGCCCACCCCCTCTTCATCCTAGGGCATGCAGAGAGGAATGGAGAAGAGAGCAACATGGATTGCGTGGCTTACGGGGAGGAAAGGGCCCTAATTCCCTTTGTTAGCCACACCTGGGATGAAAGTTTGTAAGAACTGAAGGCTGACTGTGGCAGCTGCTGGGAGCAAATGTGACTTTATCCTATGTTGTCATTGTTTATCTGTGTTCCTGGCGTCTTCCCAACCACGTGAGTTTTGCCATGCCTTCATGTATGGAATTCTTGCTCCTGCCCTGCCAAACTAATTACCTCGGTTTGGCTTGATTGGACTTAAAAGTTACAGTTTTTGTTGACCATGTTTTGGACTTGATTCCCTGCAGTTAAAGGCAGTTCCTGGGAGACTTCTTCTCCAGCCAGAAGGTAACCTGGACACTGGGGGCAAAGTTGGAGCTAATAAACGGACTCTTATTATCTGACTGTGTTGCCTTTGTGCCGTGCCCTGGGTCATCACATAATCCTTGACTTACAACCATTTGTTTAGGGACCGTTTGAAGTTACAACGGCATTACAAAAAAGTGACTTATGACCATTTTTCCACATGGCCATTGCAGCATCCCCATGGTAATGTGATCAATAATTCAGATGCTTGGCAAATGGCTCATATCTATGACGTCTGTGGCATCCCAAGATGACATAACCACCTTTTGCAACCTTCTGACAAGCCAAGTCAATGGGGAAGGCAGATTCACTTTAAAACCATGTTACGAATTTAACTGCAGTGATTCATTTAACTGTGGCAAGAAAGGTTGTACAATGGGTCTAAACTCACTTAACAACTGTCTTGCTTAGCAACATAAATTTTGGGTTCAGTTGTGGTCGTAAGTCAAGAGCTACCTGTACAATATTCTGTTGTTCTCCTAAATCAGCCCTCTTCTGCCAGTTTTTTTTCCATATGTTTACAGCTGCTGTGATTGTTCTGCTGTGAAGGTCATTGGTAGCTTCTGTGGTCTCACTCAAAATTTGCTCTTGCAATGTCCTTGGCCTGACCCACTTCCCCCCTATTTTTTTCTTTTTTTGGCTCCCTTGCAGGGCAGACATATTACTTAAACAAGCTGTCTCTTCCTGAGCTGTTTTTCTCTCCAACTCAAAGGGCAAGTTAACCAGCTCAGTTCCCTGACTTTTTTTTTTTTGTAAATTTTATTTGAGTTTTCACAAAAAGAAAAGAAACACAATTAAAACATCTTTTTTGAAAGCAGCATAATCCCGGGTTACATTTCTTCGTGCAGACACAATTTCAGGTTCATGTTCATTTTTATATTCTATTCCATATTTTATTACAATTTTACATTTTCTACATAGCTTCTCCCCTCTTTTAATTTCCTCAATTTTATTGTATTTACTTCATCTTAATTCAAATCATTATATTTATATTTTTTGTCTGTCCTGTTTCAATTGTCTGTTATCTTTTCTCATTAAACAAAATTTCTCCTGTAGTTACTGATTGGAGTATGATGCCTTTATATCTTTCCCCTAAAGTTATAACACTCAATATAATACATAGCTTCCATTCAGATTCTGTTTGGTACATTCTTAAACTACACACAGTATTCTTAAAAAAAAGAAAAAAAATATTATTATTGTATATAATTAAAACAACATTCCATTCCAATTCAATTCTATCATTAATATTAATATTCATTAAAGTCTTAAGATTTTTCACGTTACTTTTCAATTAAGTATCATACTTCTATGGGAACAATTATAAACTTTCCATAATCAATTCCCCCCCTCTTCACTTATATTTTATAAAACATTGACTAGTTAAAGTGTTCCCATTCCTTCCTAATTCAATTTTCTCATTTATTTTATTTCATTTACTTTATTCACAAACATTTCACTAAGTTACACTAACCATTCTATCCCTCTTTCTAATCATAAGTTGTTTCCAATTTTCTAAAGTTATTTCTATTTCAAATATAACAACACAATTTCATGTACCTTTACAGAATCCCCCTTTCAGTTAAATTTTCACCCATAGGTCCCGTTTTTCTATATCTTGCTCCGGATCTTTGTGACTTCTTTTCCTTTCCTTCTTCCCTCTCTTCTTCTCCCTCCCCCTTTTACCCCTTTGTCTCTCTACCTCTAATTCCCTCTTCTGTATTCCCCTTTTCTGTTGCTTTCCAGTATTATACTTATTTTTTGAATTATTTTTCTTTGGTTGTTTTTTTAAGTCTTAAATTCTCCATCCTCTTTCCCCTCCCTTTCCTTTTTCTTCCCCACATAGAGTTACTTGTTCATTAAAGATGGCTTCTTCTTTGTCCCAGTCTTCTTGTTTTGCAGTCTTTTCTTCTTGTTGCTCATAGTTCCAAATCTCCATTTCTAAGAATTGAAAAACGAAGCCAAAGGAACCCTTTCCTTCTTGTGCATCTTCTTTATACTTTTTAAGTTCCATTTTCAATTCATCCAAAAGTAATGCCATTGTAGAAATTTTTAAACAACCACCCAATTGATTTTAGTCATTCAAATATAATAGCCAAAAATCCAAAAATCACCAAGTAATCCATATACACACAAACTGTTTCTTTTTGCTCTTTCTTCTTTTTTCCACTTTCTCTTCCTGGGGTTACTATTTAGTTGCAAAGTTTTAGTTAAAATGTATCTTTTAGAAGTCTTATTGAAGTTTTACTTTAGATTCTTTTAAAGTCCAGGCAGTCTCCTCCCTCTTCCAGATCCTGCCTTTATTCTTTTCCTCTCCCTTCCTGTTTATAGAAGAAAAAGTTTTTAATGTCCAGAAATCTTTATTGTCCCTTTGGCATTTAGTTATATTTTCAGCTTAATTGCCTATTGATGCCAAAGCGGATTTTTCCAATTTCTTATTCTTAATTGTCAATATAAGGAAGGAGAGAGAAGAAAAAAAAGTCAAACCTTTCCCTTTTCACTTTCTTTCACTGCTTCTGACTCTTCTTTGGGAGCGATGTTATTTCTTGTAAAATTTAAATTCCAGGGTTACCTTAGTTATTGCCTTTTCAACTTAGCCCGGTCAGCCAAAACTTTCACTTTTTATCTTCCGCCTGCACGTTCTTTTCTGGTTGAGTACTTCTTTGAGGTGGCCATTTCTGACCACCGCTCCTACCGCCTTCGGGAAAGGGAGTTTGACCAGCTGAGGAGGAGAGATGCGGCTCTCCTCGACCCTGCTGGCAGTCTCCCCCTTTTTCACCACCTCTACGGGGTGGCTTAGCCCCGAAACCAGCCAACTCGGGGCACTCCAGCGGCGAGCCCAGGCAGAAACCGCGCACGATCGCGGATTCCTGTCTCTTGCCGAAGCCCTTCAAACTGGAAGTTCCAGTTCCCTGACTTTTAATTGGTTGATTAGAACAACTCTGCCAGCTGCTGCTTGAAACTCACCAGACCTTAAATCAGTTTCACTGGGAAGGTTTTTGGGAGGTCAGGAAATTGGTTATAAATGCCTGCATTCATTGGAAAATGATTTTTTTCATCACTGTTTTATTACCATTGTGCTTGTCAATGATGCTAGCTAACCAAGCTGCATTGTGAAGGCCATGGTTTTCGTAGCTGTGAAAACTGGGTTAAAAATATTAAAATGAATAAAAAAATGCTATATCTGTAATGTGAAGGCAAGAGCCATCGAAGACAAGCGGGGAAGACACTTGGGAAAAAAGGAGGATGGTTTAAAGGTGGCTAGATGCTTTCTGATAACACCAGTGGGACTTTACAAGAAGCCAAAGGTGCAGTTACTCATTGACAATTCTGATGACACGTCCATCAGATTCCAAAAAGTCAGAACTGGCTGAGAAACAAATTAAAGCAGAGGTGGGGATGAGATGTCACTGAACAGTAGCTAATTAGCATGGCTGATATTAGGAATGCCAAGAGAGTTGTTTTGCAACATCTGGAGGATCAGAGATTTACCACAGTGCTAAATCCATAGCAGGATTGAACCAATATTTCATGTGTTGATACATCATCTTTAACATTCTGGTGTTACCACAATTCTTGAGAATAGACATGGAGTACAAATAAGTTTGTGCGAAGCAAATATTCAGTTGGAGAATTTCAAATGAATAGGAGTTTGTCACACAACTGCGGATTTGGATATTTGGTGTTAGTCTTGGTTTCTTCATCTCTATAAGATCTCAGCTTAACAATATCTCTAGTTGGTGAGGAGGGCTCTAGAGGCCAGAGAAAATGAGCTGGAGAACTGTTCTGTCCCTGGGATTCAGCTTGCCCACCCCTGCTTTTTTAAAATATTGGAGTCTTCCATTTTATTGAGGCTGTGCAATATATTTGCAGAACAAACCACCCTAATTACATACCAGATTAAAAGTTGTTTTTAGAAACTGTTTTAAAAATGTAAGTATTAGTAAGTGTTGGCAACCAATCAACTAACAACTCAACAGGCCAGAGTTTAACTCTCAAGCTGGAAATCCACCTGATCCCAATTAAGCAGAAATTGGTTAGAAATCAAGTTCCCCGGTGTTCCTTTTTCCTATCTTTACTGTCCAATTTCTGTAGCAAAACTAAGAAGGCTGCCTTTTGGGCATATGTAGTTACCAATGCTGTGAAGAGGAATAGTGTTTATCTTGCACATCAGTGTCTATGGCAGTTGGGCACTAATTCAAATAAATACCCTTTATATAAATAACGGAGGCACTTTTTATGTTGTATATTAACGTTTTCCCTAATGTTAATCCGATACACACAAACACACGCACACACAAAACAGCAAACGATGTGCCTTCTCTCCCAGGCTCATTTCCATAAAAATTATTTGCATTTGCTTCGGATCGCAAACGGGTCCCTCCACCCCCACCCCGCTTCAAAACAAACGAAAGGCAAATTTATCAGAGGTGGTCGCATGCTTGCTAATACTCAGATCTCTTGGTTAGCTTTCAGTTTCATGAAATATCGGCTTCATTTCCCAAATCGTCTCGGTTTCCTTTTTTTTTTTTTTTGGTCACAAGTTTCCCCTATCACTTTTGGTCACGGATTCTTGAATCTTAACTTCCTCCAGGGTTGTTTCGTTATGTAAGATCGCAAAAGGGAGAGAGGGTGGTTCGCTTTCGTTTCTCCGCGGGTTTTTCCTTCCTCCAAGCGATAACAGCAGCCGGCGGTCGGTTTCGATTTCCCAGTTCGCGAATGGGCCGGGGCCGGGGCCGGGGCCGGGGCGGTTTCTTAAGCCGCTCCCGGTTTCGTTTCTCCTCATGCTGCCCGGCAGCGCCGCTGGATCTCTCCGGCTGCTACGATTAACCATGGATAAGCTGCTCCCTGCGAACCAAGCGGGCTGGCTGGAGCGCTCCTTCGTAGCTGAATCGTCAAGGGCGGAGGTGGCCTATTTCTCCCTCAGCGGCGCCGACGGGCAGCCAGGCAACCCCGTGAGGCCCCGGTGTTTCCTGCCTCCTCCGGGCAGATGCTATTCCTTCGGCGTCCCCGTGGCTCCAACCCCGCGGGAGCGCGTCCGAGCTGCCCGGCTGCAAGGGACTTTACAGCGCCGGCTCGAGCAGGAGGCGCCTTGGGGCGACCGGGGCCGAGTCCTGCCGCTCCTCTGCTACGGCCGTGGCGGAGCTCTGCTAGAGAAAGGCTTCTTGGTTCAGGACGAGCAGGGCCTGCCAGAGACGCGGGCGTTTTTGGAAGAGCTCTTGGGGGCCCTGCTCCCAGCGCCGGCCCACCTTTGGGTGTACGAGCCAGGCGAGAGCGGCCGGCTTGGCTGCGCCTTGTGGGGCTGTAAAGGGCCAGGAAAGGAGAGCGAGCTGCTGGGCAGGGCTAGTGTGGTGGCCGCGGAAGAACCGCAGTCCCACCCGGCCGTGCCTCACCTTCTGGGCAACGCCGTGTTCAGGTCTCGGGAAGCTGCCCGACAAGTGCTGGAAGAAGTAAGTGTTTAGGATAAAGAGGAACGCCGCAGAACCAGGCCTTTTCAGGCCGTAGCTGGAGCACAGGTAGTCCTCGACTTACAGCAGTTCATTTAGTGACCGTTCAAAGCAAAACGGTATTGAAAAAGTGACTTAGGACCATGTGTTTCACACTTACGACCAGTGCAACATCCTCACCACGTGAATTCAGACGCTTGGCGACTGGTTCACATTTATGACAGTTGCAGTGGCCTGAGTTCATGTGACTGCTTTTGGCAATCTTCTGACAAAGTCACCGGGGAAGTCGTATTTACTTTACAACCATTCTCCATCCAACCATTCTGCAGCGATTCACTTAACAACAGGAAAAGTCATAAAATGGGGCAAAAGTCACTCAGCAACTACCTTGCTTAGCAGAAAAACTTTGGGTTGTAAGTTGAGGACTACCTGTATACAGAGGGAGGGAGGATGACTGGCCAAGCGAAAGCCAGATAGTGACCAGGTGGCTTGCGTGGATAAGAGTGATGGAGGAGGTTTGATAGGGTTAAAAGATTGTACAGGGGAAACATATTTGCTGGGTCTAAACCAGGAGTGTCCAACCTTGGCAACTTGAAGACCCGTGGACTTCAACTCCTAGAGTTCCTCCATCGGCATAGCTGGCTAGGGAATTCTGGGAGTTGAAGTCTTAAAGTTGCCAAAGTTGGATACCCCTGGTCTAATCAATAATAGCACCAACAAAATTTGGGTGTTGGGCGGGAGGGAATGATGATAAAGTAGACTTGATGTTGCAGCCACAACATTTACCCTTTTTAAATAAGTTAGATAAATTATAAATTGAAAAAAAAAGTAGACTCAGATCATCTAGGACTAAGTATTTCATAAGCTTGGTTAAGTTTACAATGAAGTTTATAACTTCAACTCCCAGAATTCCTCAGGCTGCATCATGTGATAAATCAAGAGTCCCCCAAACTGGTCAATACATATCAATAATCAAGAGTCAATATTATTATTCATAGTATTTATTGGTAAACGTAGTTCCTATGTTGGGACCCAATGAACCATCTGACAGTCATGAAGAGGTTGATAAACGAAAGGATTTGAGGCCTTGTGTTAAATAGACCTTGTGACCGACATGTATCTTCTACAAGAGGCATAACCCAGTTAAATTGCCTTAATGGTGGCAATGGTAGCGGCAATCACACTAACTGGGTCAAAAGTTGTCATGGTTTTCTCCAAGAAGCTTTTCAAATCTTGGGCCTTCACATCTGGAGCATATAAGCAGGCCTCAACTTATGACTGGTTGCTTAGCAACCATTCAGAATTACAAAGGCCCTCCCTATGACCCAGTTCCAAAGGGCCACATAGTCAACTGATATACACTTAAAATTGTTTGCTAAGTCTTGCAATCACATGACCATGATTTACAATATTTTTACAAGAAACCATTTTTCACTTCCAGTTTTACACAAAAATGCCCCATAGCAAACAATGCGTTTGCTTAATTTTTTGTTGTTTAATGACCATGGTAGTTGTTTTATGACGACTGTCTATTTGAAGAAAAATCACTATGACTAAATTATATGCAGGAACTACTTTTCCATGGCCCATTTAGAATGCCATATATGAAATATGTTATTAACATATGACTCTTAATCATGCTTGTTTATATTTCAGGAGGGTTTTTTGTTTTTAATTATTGGACTATCAAGTAACTGACATAAATTTGTGATATATCTGCATGCACATTGATATATGTTTTTATGTATAAGCTTATTTAAAAATCTACTAATAAGATAGTTAATAGTTAATGTATACCTAAAGCTTTACCAATGGTATTTATATTGCAACTGAAATTAAATATAATGTTCATCAAATTTGGTAGAATTATAGTTCCTGTGTCTGTTGTATTTTCACTGTATCTATAATCTTTTCTAACATGGCAATTGAAGAGATCTTGTTAATCCATACCTTAATTATTTAGTTATCTATTTTTTCCCAATATTGGGCGATAGTTTTAGCTGTTAAAATTAAGTACCATACATTTCTCATTTTTATTTATTCTCAAAAATAAATTCAGTAACTCTGGGTAACTGAGTTGTATTCAATTCTTTCTAAATAATGATTTTGTCTCCCCGCAATTTTTACTCCAAACTGATATATAACTTTATTGCATAACTACTACAAATGAAGTAAAGACAACTTATCCAATATTTGGAAGAATAGTATGTACAGTTACCAATCTGCCTAGAATCAAGTGCCAATGATATAAAATCTCCCACATAATTTCTTGCATTAAAGCTGTGGTGTATCAACCTGATTTCTATAATGCCTGCCAATTTATCTCCTGAATGACTTTACTAAAATGAAGCTTCCTAAGCTTCTTTAGTTTAAGAGCATGAAGTGGCTGCCTTGTTTCAAACTTCAAGGGTAATTAACCTATACAATTTTGAGATTGTTCTCTTTATTTGTTCGGTATTATTAATTATTAAGTTCTCAAAATTAATGTAATACTGAATTGCTGAAAGTCTAACATCTTTAATGCCCAGGAGAAATTTAATAATTAAGAAAAACACTTGCAACTTCTCACTTACTCATTGCTGTATGTCTTCTTTATTGAGGGGTTTCCTATTGCTATAGAAATATTTTATTCTGTAAACGTACCTTCTCAAAAGCTTCATCTGAGCCAGACTATGATAAATTGTCATGTTTTTTTGTTATTAAAGCAATTAGAATAGAAACTTTACCAAGGCCTTTTGATTTTTGTTTTTGAACAATAAAAAGTTTATTTGAAGGGAAAATGTATGAAAAATCCTGGTGGAAAATGTAAATTGTGCATCATTATGCAACACATGATGTTCAAAGTTAGTTTTTCAGTGTCTGTAGTGTCTTGAACAGGGGTTGTGTATGTTTTCTTGAAGAAAATATGGATGGATAAAGGGGACATGGATACATATTCCAAAGAACCTTGTAAAATGTCCGTGTTTAATTGCACAATATCTTTTAAATTAGGCCAATCATACTTAAGTCTATTAAGTATTGTTTTCCTATGATCTACCCTTTGAACGGCCAAGGTATAGCTCCTATGTGGAAGACAGAGATTTTGGTATCTGTCTCTTGTGAATGTCAGCTGAATTTCTTTCAGGTGACAGAACTGTTGCTCAGGATTCAGGAGCCATATTCTTCAGTCTATCTGGCATTTCAAATGGCCATCACAAGCATTGTGTTCCTTAAGTACTGCTTCTAATCCTTCAGAATCAATGTATCTTCTCGTTATAGTGCACTTCAATAATTCCTGAATCCAGACTGATTCTAGAACTAGTGGATAAGTGTCCTAAACATCCAAAGAAAGGAAATTTTCCTGTAATCGTTATTGAAGGGCTAGATGGAACAGGTAAGAAAATATTACACACACACACACACACACACACACCCCTAAACTTTTGTTTGAGTGACACATTTCATACAGTATCAAATTACTTTGTGGATTTGCACTGGAAAGCAAACAGGTTAGGATTTGTGCAACATCTTAAAACTATAAAAACAATCAAGGCTATGTGAAATATAAGACCCCCAATAAATTTATACGAAGACAAGTCTGGTGCACAATTTCAAAGGTTTATTGAAGAAAAGAAAAAGCAGTTGTAAGCGCGGCCCCCAAGACCCTTTCCCAAGTGGATTGAGTACTAGGAGAGCAAAATTCCATGTTCAAACAATACATTTATACCCCTACATAGAACATGCCACCCCTAAGAGGGCCCCCGCCCCCACACCTCCTTATTTTCTTGCATTCTAAGATGAGCTAAATTATAGGTTTAAGGGTCAACATGACATTGTTTTCTGTGCCTCTGTGTCTTGTCTTGTTTCACTGCTGGGTTTTACCTTGGGAGGATGTCCCTTATCTTATTTACTTGTTGTCTAGCCCTGAGCAGGTCTTCCTGTCTTCCAAGAAGATTGTAACAATTCACCATGTACTTGTAACTGAACACATTTTAGGCTTTAGGGTGGGGGTTTTATATGTAGCAGAAAGAGTAAGGAGGAAGCTAACAGAAAGAGTTTAGCTTAACCATACTTAAACTACATAAAATCCTATTATAAAAAAGTAACTTACAATACTTTTCTCTCAGTTACCAGCAGACAAGTGAGTACATTAACATGTTTTCTTGTCTGATTGTTTCCTAGGCAGCATCTCTTCCCCTCTTTCCTCGAGATCATTCACACAGTCCATGATATTTAGTACAACTACTTTAAATTGCACTCAGAAGCCTCTTGACAATCAAAAGCTGGGGAAAGGATGGTAGCCCCATGCTTTTTCCAAGTTCAGCCAACAGACCACTAGAGTTCTCCCCTTTGTTTTAAAAGACCAATTATTTTCTCTGTCCAGCAGAGGAGAGGGACTGGAGTATCTCCCTTTTTGTGTAACCAACAATATATCTCTCTAATGGGGATGTGGACCGACAATCTGGCATGCAATCCTAATTTGTTGCAGATGTTAATGAATAGAATCTCGATTTCTAAATAGAATACATTGGATTAACTTGCTTAAAAATTAATTCTTCCCATTGAATAATATCAGCAGTTTAGCTACTATATGTAATTGTTTACTTTTTCACCACTGCCCTTAGAAAATTTTCACCAGGCTTGAGAATTATGGATTCTTTTTTTATATATATATAAATTGTAGTTGCATGACAGAGTGAACAAATAAGGCATGCAAGTGACATACTGCCCAGAATTGTTTGCAGGTGATGTTTTTGGAGGTCATTAGTGTGTCCAAATTAGCAAGAAAATAAAATGGCAACAATTAAATAAAAGTGTGTTTGATGGTAATTTGAGGGTTAGTGAACAGATGTTAAGGTTAGTAGAAGACAGAAATCTTTGTCATATGAGAGAGGGGTGTAGCTGACAGTGTATGGATCAAATGTAGCCTGCAAATCCATCTTTCTACCTCCCTCAGAGTTCCCTTGCCACTCTTGTGAGTATCATAGGAATTGTAGGCCAGCATAGCATAAGGGCACAGAGTGAGGAAGGCTGACATACATTAATCTGTTTTAGATCATAAAGTAATGTCAGGTGAGTAAGCATTATTTTTCCCCTTGTTCAGTCATTCATCTAATGCTTGCTGTTTATAACAATATCTAGGTAATGGCATTCTACTCCTACATAGTAGTATTCCATAATATTTGATAATGGTTTATTGAATAATGCCCAACTGACTGAATTTGAACATAATTATAATTTGTTAAAAACCACAATTGGATGCACACTGCATATTAAACCAAACAGATCATTTTATGGCGTAGCAGAATATGATTTGTGAATGAGGCTGGTGAATTCATGCAAATAGTGGATTAAGCCCTGTTGTGAAGCTTAGATTCTGTGCTATCTTAATCCCAGTTCATTTAATGCAGGTACAAGAAAGTTGCTTCTTGCCTTCATGACATCTCTTCACAGCAGGATTGGTGGCAGTTATGAGGCACTAAAGGAAGTAAAGGAATTCCATCTTCAACTCTTCTTCCTTCAAGTCATAGCAACTAGCAATAGCAATGGCACTTAGACTTACATACTGCCTCACAGTGCTTTATAGCCCTCTCTAAGTAGTTTACAGAGTCAGCCTATTGAGTAACCATCTGGGTATTCATTTTACTGACCTCGAAATGGGGGGAAGGCCAAGTCAACCTTGAGCCAGTCAGGATCAAACTGCTGGCAATTGGCCGAATTAGCCTGCAATACTGCATTCTAACCACTGTGCCACCCCAAGAGAATAGCTGATTGGAATAGAATAGCATAGCATAGCATAGCATAGCATAGCATAGCATAGCATAGCAT